AAAAAAAAAAAAAGTGAAACCAGTTGAGTTCAAGCAAAGAATGTGGTTGAGTAGATTTACTGTGGAGGCTAAGATTCTCAGACATTCCTAAGTAACACTGACGGGGAAAATTTTAGCTTGGTAAGTCCAGAGATGTTACAGTAATTTGGGTGTGTCTCCCCTGACTGATTGTTTTAATTATGTGTCAGGGACAGGAGAGGAGGAACAGAAAGAAGAAACTACCCAGGAGACCTGGGGTGATATGAATAGTTGTCAGGATTCCTAGTGATAACCCCCAGCTTGGTCAACAGCTTACTGTGACACAGTGTAGGCCAGAAATTTCCCTCAGTCCGGGTCTAGGATTTTTATTTTTTTGTAGAAATTTAAAAAATTACAAAGTGAAATCATTGTGTGGGGGCTTGCATCTGTATGGTTTCTTTCATTTTATTCCATTTTTTATTAAAAACCATTTTTTAACCACAGAATAGTTTTCTCAAACAAATATTAGCCTGTTTTCCAAAGTGCAAAATAGATATAAATAAGCAACTCTAGTTGAGTTAGGGAAACTCTCTAGGTATCAGAAAGGACATGCAGTAGGAAGTAAAAGAAAAAAGAAATAAAATGAATCAGATGCTTGCTAACATATGTTAAACACTGTATTTGGCTTTTTAAAGTTAGTTTCTCATTTGATCCACATTCCTTTTCATGGATGAAAAAAATGAGACCCCAGAGATACATAAATTGTCCAAGTGATACAGACAGTAAGTAAGAATTCTGACATTTGAAATTAGTTCTGATAGTTCCATGAAGGTTCTTGTTGAAGCTGAGACAGGACAGGAAGAATGAGAAATGACCATGGAAGGCAGACATCACACTGACTTACTCCACCTCTTAGTGTCTGTCAGTGCCCTGAGTGTTTTCTGAGAGTTGGGTCATGGGTTGGGCATACGGACAAGATGTACCAGAGATTTAGCCTACCCCTGGACTAAGCCATGTTCCCTCCCTTCTAAGTAGTTGGCTTCACAACAGGTATGACCTAGTAATTAGGAAATAAACAGATAGCTCTAAATAGAGTCAAACATAATCTTGAAAGCAATTACAACAAGTTGACTTCAAATAATCTCACCTCTTCTGGGGCAGTGGCCGGGGAGGCTCTTGTTAAATAGCCGGCCCTTTTCTGGGATTTTGCGTCTTTTTCCCTGGAAGACAGCAGGAAGTAGCATAGCTTAGACATGCTTTCCCAATTTGGGGGAAAGATTTAGCATACATGTCAACCTTAATTTTGACTCTTTTCCTCAGCTCAATCTAGTGTAGCAGATGTGGAGGTGGTACATGCAGAAATTAGCTCAGGTACCATAAGTCTCTCCTCAGTGCTGAAAAATATCTCAGACATGGCTCTACAGGAGGCAAGAATCTCTACCTTTAACCGCACAACCAACAGACTACTCCCCGACCCCTTTAAAAGCTTCCAACATCCAGGTGGTAACCAACTCTAAAAGCCATCTCTGCCATCGTTGGAATAGTCTCTTCGAAATACCATATTCACACTGAACCAAAATCTATCTGCCTGTTTTGGTTCTGGTTCTAAACTGTAAGGTCCCACAGAGCAAACTCAGAAATTTAAGGAGAGCTTTTATGCCTTGTACATGTCCTTTCCAGTTTAAGAAACCAAGATTTTTCCAACGTAAGTTAAATAGGTAATAAAAACAATACTTGAGTTAATGACTTCAAATAGATAACCTGTCTTATATGTCTCAAGGCAGTTTATTTTTGTTTTAAATTATTTTTCAGTAAATGTACTATATTCATAGTTTCAGTCCCCTTTCAAGACACCCTATATAACAAGAAGGAAGCTTTATAGTAAATAATACATCTGCTGGTTTACATTCAGCTTTCAAGAGAATAAGAAAAAATTGCTCAGCTTGCCCTGGGTCTCCCTCATCCCCATCCCCTAAATCTTGCCCTTCTTCCTCCATCTTCCACAATTTCTTCACTAGGCGCAGCATGTGTGATCACAGCTTCATTATCCCAATATTATTGACTAGATCAAATTAAATCCCCTGAAACATACTCCCTGGCATTTAAAAAGCTAATTAGAACAACACAATTATCTTGAATGGATAAGCTTAGTATCAGTGATGAAGTTTTGATGGTGGTCACAAATTAAAGATGACCTCCTTGTTCAAAAACAGATTAGAACACTCTGATTTGAGGATTTTCAATGGATAACAAGCCTTTTTTCACCTTTGGGTGTCACTGAAGAGAAGGAAAGAAGCTAAGAAGCACTGCATAGATGTCAGTAAACCTCCAGGACACTCACCCTTCCTGAGCTGCAGGGAGGTGCAAGCTAAAATCAGTTCTTTAGACTATGTCATCCTAGCATAATCCGAAATGTCTAAAGACGCTGGCAACTCACAGGATCAGGGTGTGTCCTGCTAAAGTCTTTCTACTGGTTGGCTGCCATAAGGAGAGTTTGGCATCTTTCCCGGGGGGGCTTTTCTCAGTCCCGAGGACACAACAGAGTCAGGGCTTAACAAGAATTAAGAATTCTTTTTTTCTCAGAGTCAGGAAACTCAAATTGGAGCTACTTCCTCAAAAGACTATTAAGTGCTACATAAGGTGTTAACCCTGGACCCTCTGGAATGCTTTGGAATACCATTTGAGTGATCATTAAAATCTTTTCTGGTAGGTGGCACTTATCCAACTTCACCTGATAAGAGGTATCAGAGTGATCTGCTAAGCATTTTTATTTAATCTTTTAGAGTTAGAAAAATATATTTGACAGAATATAAAAAGAATACATTTACTGGTCCAGAGAATAGCTGGGAACTCAAACACTTCAAGAGGACTTTTACTCACAATATCATTTTGCACGTGGCACATCTGTTGATGAAGGCTATTCCATCAGGGCTCTGAAAAAGTTTTTTATCTTGGGAACAAAATAATTTTCCATTTTTCATTAATGCCCGATACTGATCACACGTTTCCTAAGGAAAAGATGAAAAAAAGCGTGTTTACTGAGATCTCATCAAAGCAAGACTTTACCTTCTAAGAACTTCCTTGAGCAATACTATTGAAAGACCAATACCTGCTTTGTATAGAAGCCATTCACTCAGTCTACACAAATAACATAAACAAAAACAATGACTGGATTGTCCATCTACTTAATAAGCTTTCTTCCAAAAACAATTAGTGAAATGGAAAGACTTGACCTTATATTCCAGGGTTGTAGTTTACAAGCCCAATAGCCATAGCAAATTAACTTCTCAATGGCTAACTTATCCTATCTGTAAAAATAGAGGATATAATTTCATATGTTCCATACGTATTGTGAGGATTAAATATTCTAAGTATGTATAACTTTCAAAGTGCCTGACACATAGTACATAATCAATAATTACATTATCCTCCCCCCTCTTCTTTCTCCTTTTTTATTATTGTTGTGATTACTATTATTGGAATATGACACATATAAAATACCTAGTACACAGTAGGTCAATAATTGCTGCCAAAAGGAACACAAAAAGATTGCTGAAAAGGTTAAGTCAATATATTTTATGGAAGCCTTGCTATATGTCCCTCTTAAAATCAATGGTGCATTTGCACTATCTCGCAAAGTACGGATTTAATATGTTATACTCCCTATTAGTTTAGAAAATCCAGTGGGCCTTTAGAGCAAGCCTTTGGAATCTAAGTTATGTGGTTTTTTGGTTTTATTTTGATTTTGCCAAAAAATAAAAAATGGGGTAACAGGGTGATGGGCATTAAGGAGGGCATGTGATGTAAGGAGCCCTGGGTGTTTTACACAACTGATGAATCGCTGAACTCTACCTCTGAAACTAATAATACACTATATGTTAAATAATTGAAATAAAAAAAAAGAATTCTGTCCAGCCTCTTATATCTTTATAATAATCATTAAATCAGTCTACAAAACTTCATTATGGTATTAATTTACTTTGCTAGGTGACACGGATATAGCTAGGTGCATGGATATAGCAATAAAGCAGAAGCATCCTTGCCTAAACTGTGCTTACCATCGAATGGATAATGATGTACTTCACCTAGCCTCTTAAACATGGGAGGCAGTTGGTAGCCCTTGCAGAATGATTAATGGTGAAGAAGAATAAATAAATAATATCAGAGACCAGCCCTGGGAAATTCTGCCAGTGGGGTGACCTACCAAAATATCTCTAAAATTATTATCACCAGCCAGTGATCTTATCTGAGTAGCCCAGCAATAATTTCTGGCAACAGTCTGACGACTGGGCCTCTTGAGATCTGTCTGGTCTCTGACTTTACAATATCTTATGCCAACATTGCAAGTTACTGCTTAGCTTGCCAGATATAACTGATTCTACATAGTCTAGATAAAACTTTGTCATAGAATCAGAGAGGAGCCTGGTGTTTTTTATGATAGAAACATATCCCTTGTGAGGCAGGTCTTAAGAAAGTATTGAAAACAAAGATTCATGAAACACTAGAATGAAGCTTTTTATAGTTTTCAGTGGTCAGTTGAAAAAGAACATTACCAATGAGGATAATTCCTGAATTGGACTTCTCCAGTGTCACAATGACATGAATGCCTAATTTCTAGAAAGACCCGCCTTTTTTTTTTTTTTTTTTTTTTTACAGATGGACAACCAAGACCCAGAGAGGTTAAGATTAATTATAATTAGTTAAGATAGAACTCAATGCTGTTTTTCTGAGTGATGAAATAATCCAACGTATTCTCTTGGCAAACAGGAAAAGGCCATACAAATTGAAAGCAAGAGGTGGGTTTTCTCTGGGAAAGAAGGAATGTCCTCTCCATTACCCAACCATGAGAGAGGGTTAAAAGAAGAGCAGATCTACACCAAAAAGGCATCCTGAGGTGGGGAGATCACTTTTTAGCAAGTGTTTACTTGCAGTCTTTTGGCTTGTTTCCATTTTGTTTTGTTTTGTTATTGTTGCTGTTGTTTGTGTTTTCTCCACATGTCCCAGAAAAACTAAGGCCCTCCAGGGCCAAACTCCTTCCTTTACTGGCCCATTGTCTTCTACCGACCCTCCTTCAGCAGCATAGTAAAATCCCCCAGTAGCTGGCATCACCCCCACTCTGTGTTAGGGTACCAACAAGCTCCTTTTGGCTTTATAATAACTCTTCTGTGATGACAAATTTAGGTATATGGTAAAGATCCTTGCAGGGCACTACAGTGCTTTTCTGTGCTGTGCTGGCTCACGTTTATAATATTTAACAGGCTTTTGTGGCACTAGTAAGAACTCAAGCTACTGAATTTGGAAAACAAAAATTCCAGCACCATAAGAAAGACTAAATCAATAGTTTTCACTTCTGATGAAATATACAAAGACTGTTGTAAGAAATATTTCCAGAGACATATTTATTTCTTTGTGTTCTTGCTTATGCCAACATAAAGGGTGGCTAAATTTATTTTTAAACTATTTTCCAGTGAAATCGAGTTTAATGGTATAAAAAGTCACAGTTGCAAAATTAAAAATATCCACCAGAATCACCACCCATTATCAAAGACTCTGAAAAAGAAAATTATGACTTCATGCACAGTGAGATTTACACAATACTCTTCTTTTTGCCAGTATAAAACATGCAAGTAAGCATGATCTTTGATTCCCCCAATCCAACATTTTTTCTACTCTACTCTACTACCCTATTTATTTCATAAAGGTTTTTGAACCTCTCCTTACACAGCAAATTTAGATGAAATTATATAAACTACAATGAAATTTTCTAGAACATTCCTGAAATGTTTCTTTAAAAAAATGTTACACTAAAATATAACAAGAGAGCATTTTAACAATAGTTCTAAGAGTTTCATTATAGAAAAGCATTGTTTTACTGGTTTATTATTTTAATGTTCATGGCTTTTAAGAGACATAGCACATATTTCCTATATACCTAGCACTATTTTAAGTGCTGAATTAATGGCATAGGGGTGTGTGTGTGTGTGTGTGTGTATTTGGCTCTGGACTTTTTTTTCCCAAATAGATAAAAAAATTAACTTCTAGAGAAAATGATTATTTTATTGTTCAAACAAAAGATCTCTGAGAATTGGCTAAGCACCCTCCTGAGCCAAGGCCTCTATCATCCCAGATTTTTCTCCCTGATCTTCTGTCACCTGCAAAAATCTTCAGGACTTACTACCTCCAGATCCTTGGTCTAATACTATCTTTTCAGAGAATACTTACTTGAGTATCCTAAGAAGAACTGATATCACCTCATCCCCAGAAATTCCTATCTTCCATTCTGCTTCATTTTCCTCCTAGCATTAGTCATCATTTAATGTGCTATATATTTTACTAATTTACTCATTAACTTATCTGTTTTCCTCCACTAATACGTAAGCTCCACAAGGGGAGGACTCTTGTCTATTTTCTTTATTTTCCAATATCCCCAACAACTCAAACAGGGTCTAACAAATGATAGATACTCAGTAAATATTTACTGAATGAAATATAGACAATGACCATATACAAGGTACAGACAACCCATTTACACATATTTCTGCTTTCTATGTTTGTTATGGCTTTTTCGGCTATTAAATCTGACAATGCTAATTCACTGCTTTGTTTATGGAATTTGAAAGCACTCCTTTAGCATGGTAGGTTGCCTCTTGCAGGCATCCATCATCATTAATACATTGATGTGTATGTGTGTGTGTTTCTGTGTCTGTGTGTGATTCATGTCTTCCTTCATAAAGACCTGTTTCTGTGTTTTTAACAAAAGCTATTAGTACCTATCAGTATAATATGTCTGTATTATTAATGTGAAGGTGTTGGTCACAGGCCATTTTTCCTTACAGATTTTGGAATGGATTCAATGAACAGAAAAAGCAGGACTAACCTGATTTTCATCCTCACTGGCAGCATCTGGGACAAAAATACAGAAACTTAAGTTAAGGGAATGCAAAATATTCAACAAATAAACAATTCACTCAGTGTAGTGCCTTGCTTATTTTAATGACTGCATGTTATAAAACCACAAATTGCTTTTGAACACGTTAAAATTTACCATGGCAAATAAAATGGGGGCACTGCACCAGGAAATCAGTACATGTACTCACAGAGGTCTAGTCACTCATAAAAGTCTAATTACTTTGGAAAACAATACTCATGTACTTTCTTACCCCCTTCAAAATATCTAATTTCAAAGAGATCCTTTCACAGCAAAGTACGGCAGACCTCTTTTAAAATTATAATATAACAAATATATCATGTCAATTATAATTTGAAAGTATAATGTAGCATAAAGTTTATATCATAGTGCACATAAAATGAAAGTTTCTGAATTCTGGCAAACTTGTCTCCTTATTAGAGCTACAAAACTCAAAGATCTGACAAAAATCAAGATTAATTAAAATCATAGGCTATTATACTCTCTCATTAGCAGACTCCCTTTTGTACTTACGCACTTATTTTAGGAAAGTGGGCATCATTTATGTATAATGATCTCCTGACTCTCCATCTCTGAGATTTTCTTTTAAAAAATACAAATGCTTCAGAACAAGATTGAGCCTAGGAAATTCATGTTCCCTTCAAATTCAAATAACAAATACAAAAAACTACCTTCTACTTCCCACAAAAGTCTCTTACCTTTTAGGAGATATGCTTTCAATCCATTTAGGATTTGGTAACACAAAAATAAAATATGCTAGAAGGCACTACTACTTTAAAATAAGAATAGATGATTAAATTTGATTTTTAATAGTTTATAAATATAGTATTATTTATAAAATATACATCTAAGTTTTAAATATCTATTATATGCATAATTCCTATCAGTATGAATTGATAAGCTTAGTATCATCTATATGTACAGTATATATAATTTCCAACAGTATGAATGAATATGCTTGGTGAGAGGAAGATGAAGAAGAATCTATTAGCTTTCAGAACCAATATAGAATTAATAGAAGGATTTCTCATGGATAAAAATTCAGATTATGTCAAACTATTTGCCAGTTCTAAAGTTAACAACATAATTATTAAGCCACATATATAATTCTTCAAAACTCTGTGTCTGGTTAGATATTTCAAGACTATACATACACACATACATACAATCACACAAACATACTTACATATATACACATATTTGAGGAGTAGGGGGAGGGAGACAAGTCCCTGCCCAGGGCTTTGCCATGTGTCGAAGAGGCTTAGATTCCATGCAAATTGCTCACCTTGTATGAGGCAAAGGGCCAGGGTCAGAAGCATTGGCACTTTGGCTATCTTCATGTTGAAGATGATGTAAGTCGATTACAAGACGGCTCTGGGCATTGCTCACCAGCTGGTGCTCTAAGACTGAACCCATGGAGATGCAGCTCACTTTTTATATACTTGGTGACACCCACAATAACAACCAACATTACAAAACCAGTTGTTCTAGGTCATGCTAGACTTAATATACCACATCAATTTAGTTTCCATCCTTGAGCATCCTGTCAAGGTGGCAGATCTGAACAGATAATGTCTATTTCCACAGTTCTGATATGTTTTCATGATACCTCCCCCAAAAGGCAATAGATTGAGTCCAAGAACTCTATTATAAAGTTTAACACTCCATACTCCTATGTAAGAACTGAATTCTTCACCAAGACCAGACATATAACTTTGCAGACAAACATGTTTCTAACTGGGCTCCCTTCATAAGTGGGAGGGGAGGAAAGAAGACAGATGAGTTATCCTACTAGTCAGGTAGAGACTTACAGATTCCCATATCTGGAGAAAGTTGCTGAGAGTAAGAGAAGCTAGAATTCTTGTTGCTTCCATCTGCAGGTGTTTTGAAGGGTCTCAATTCAGTGCCACAGACTCATGTACAAGTTAGAGTGAACAACTCAAAGACATAACCCAGCAAGATTTTAACACTGAGTACATGGTGAAGCCAAAATCCAGAAAAAAGACAATGACTTTCCCAAGAGCACATAGTTTAGATGGAAGAGGCAGAGGTGGTACTTGAGGAAGATCACTTTTTATTTAACTCCATACACTGCTTCCATCACACACTGATAAAGGCAGAAACTATGTGAAATCAAAGCTTGCACATAACTGCTTTCAGAAATTCTCAATCTGAAGGACATTTTCTATTCTAAAGCCTTATCTTTTAGTCTAACCAAACATTGTAATCACAAACATTAGAGGCTCAAACTTTAACTTTCTACAGCCCATCACTCCCCAAATTACTGTTTGAAAAACGTGGCTCAATCAATTTCCCCCTAAATTAAGTTTACTCCAATAGTGACTCATTATTTACTCTCTCAGGAAGAAAAGAAAATTAAATACTTAAAAATATAAATATAAATAATCAGTGTAAGATTTTTCCAGAGAAAGTATTTTCTCCTTAGTTATCTTCTCCTTAGTTCCTTCTTCCATTTTACAAGTAATGCCTTTTGTCTACCAGCTTATTCTACTCTAATACCTGAAAAATTATGCAAAAATGATTGAAGCCACAGCCAAACGGTTTGACTCCAGTACTCCAAAGGGTCTCCATATCCACAGAGGGAAAGTTTGGGACTTTATGGGATCAAAGCCTTTTTAAAGATTCTTCCAGAAAACTGATCTAAGGCTAGCCAATTTGATGATGATGTCAATATTCTGAATGCCATTAAAGCCAGAGTATTTCCTTTTTTTTGTGTGAAATAACTTATTTCCTCTAAAAGTGTAATCATTGTTTTCAAGGTCTGTGCTTTGTTTCTTTCCAATGGTTTAATAAAATGAGTGCCTATGGAAAGCAAGCTCAAACTACATTATTGTTACAGATTAGAAAATTTAATCCATCATAGCTTAATAGAAAGAGAATGGAACAGGGAGTCAGGAAATTTGTTTCTATTCCTGTCTTTGCAACTACACAATGTAAGGAAAGGAGCCTGGCTTTGACATATGGTAGACGTGGGTTCAAATCTTGACTCACAGGTTACTAGCTATGTTGCCTTGGGCAAGTCATTTATTTTCTCTCTGTCTCGGCTTCCCAGTATGCAAAACAGGGGTCATAAAATTACACTGTACAATTGTTGTAAGAGTTAGAGGTAATTCGTGTGTGTGTGTGTGTGTGTGTGTGTGTGTAAGGTTTAGAACAATTTTGAGTATAGTGATAAGTTTTATAGTTAATGATAGCTGGTCTTGCATTTTTATGTCATTACAATGATGTAGTTGTATTATTAGGTAATTTCAAAGGTACAAGAAAAGTCAACATCCTTGCACATTGACCTCATCAACAGATTTTAAGCTTACTCAGCATGTAATGACACCCCCAACACATTCTGAAGTGAAATTAAAAAGTCAAGACATGTCTTCTTTTTCATTTTGTTATTATGTTCTAAACCACAATACCTAAAACAAATCAAAGCATTTGCTGTTTAAAACCTGTCAAAGTCATTGCAAGATTTCAATCAGCATTGATTTCTTAGCTTTCTCTGTGAAAGTGTCTTCTAGGGCGCCTGGGTGGCTCATTGGTTAAGCGGCTGCCTTCGGCTCAGGTCATGATCCTGGAGTCCCTGGATCAAGTCCCGCATCGGGCTCCCTGCTCGGCAGGGAGCCTGCTTCTCCCTCTGACCCTCCCCCCTCTCATGTGCTCTCTCTCTCTCATTCTCTCTGTCTCAAATAAATAAATAAAAATCTTTAAAAAAAGAAAGTGTCTTCTAAATATTGACATACCAGTACTAACTCTTTATTTTTTATCTGTTCTGTCAGATCATATGAAATGAGTCCCAACAATACACTCTGTCACTGGTGGTAAGAAAGTTTAGCACCTATTTTTTTTTTTATAATATAGTTAGGTTTATTTGTTTTAATCTGCATTCCATCCTGGCTTCCCCTGACAGCATGGTTAATTAAAAAATTTACATACAATAAAAGTCACTGGTTGTGCTATACAGTTTTTTGTTTTGACAAATTCAGAGTCCTGTATCCACCACAACACCAATACAGAGGAACCCCATTAACCTAAAAATTCCTTTGTATAAACTTCCTTTCCCTAAACCTGGCAACCACTGATCTGTTTTCCATCCCTATAGTTTTGTCTTTTCCAGAAGGTCATATAAATGGAATCATACAATATGTAGATTTTTAGGTCTAGGTTCTTTCACTTAGCAAAGTGCTTTTAAGATTTGTCTAGGTTGTTGCACAAACCAATAGTTCATTCCTTTTTACTGCTGAGTATAGATAACCTTATTACATGGACATACCACAGTTTGTTTGTCCATTTATCTGTTGAAGGACATCTGGGTTATTTCTAGTTTTGGCAATTGTGAATAAAGCTGCTATAAATAGTCATATATGGGCTTTTGTATGAACACAAGTTTTCAATTCTCTTGGATAAATACCCGGGAGTGGAATGGCTGGGCTCTATAGTAAATGTATGTTCATAAGAAACTGCCAAACACTTTTCCAAAGTGGATATTGTGCTTTGCAATGAATGACCATTCTGCTGTCCCACATCTTCTCTAGCATTTGGTTGTCCACACTCTTTTTCAACTGGAAACTGCTGCACCACCCCAACTCCAATAATTGGTGCCTGTGTAATATGCTCTGATGAATGCCAAATCTAGCCCAAATAGATAGTATTCCCAGGAGTGGAAGTGGTGTGAGGGTAGAATGAAAGAACCTAAAGATGACTGTAACTCTGAAGAATCCATGCTTTGAGGAAAGCTTGAGGAGTTGGTTTCCTTCTTACTGGAAAAGTGCTCCTCACTGCCACCCAGGTCATCCTGAAATGATGAATAAGAGGTTTGAAACTGAGAGCCTCTTCTGTGAGGAGAGGCAGCCAAAAGAAGATTCCAGGAGCCCCAATGTTGGAAGGATGGTCAGCTGCCCCTTGGCATCAGGACTCTTTCTCCATTTCATTTCAGGAATGTTTTATATCCAGAGGTGATTCACTGCATACTCTGTTAATCACTCCACGTTTCTGAAAACCACAAAATTTAAATTCAGATGAATGGGTGGGAGATTTTAGAAAATTGGGGTTTGGGTTATCAGGTGCTTTTTGTGTGTGGTTCTGAAAACCGTTTCTTCTTTATTGTTATTTTGCAATGTTGCATCACTGTCTCTTCCATGCACGTGAGTGAAAATGTCCTACTGACAGAGAACACTGTGGTTGGGTCAAAAGGCTGCTGGTAACAAGAGTGACACCTAAAGCAAAGTTTCAACTTAAGGTTAAAGCACATAGCCTGGCAAATGCCTGTCAGGGAAAGCAGGGTCAGCAATATTCTCATCAGAGAAATCAGAGTTGAATGACAAAGGCATTAAAGATATGGAATATCATGTAAGCCCCTTTGGCCCCTACCTCCACTCCTGACTTCCCTGACTCCTGTTGCCCCTTGAGGAGAATGGATCTTGTACATCTTATTGTATCCAATGTAAACTACCCATTTTCTGTTTTTTCCTTAGCTCTTCCTTGACATATCTCCACATTCTCTCATCATCTCCTCACTGCCCAAGTGCCTTTCCTTTTTTTCTTTTGTTTGAAGTTTTTATTTGAGTTCTAGTTAGTTAACAACATATAGTGTAATATCGGTGTCAGGAGTAAGATTTAGTGATTCATCACTTACATACAACACCCAGTGCTCATCCCAACAGGTGCGCTCCTTAATATCCATCACCCATTTAGCCCATCCCCTGCCCACCTCCCCTCTAGTAACCCTCAGTTTGTTCTCTATAGTCAAGAGTCTGTTATGATTTGCTTCCCTCTTTCTCTTCCCCCCTCCCCTATGTTCATCTGTTTTGTATCTTAAATTCCACATATGAGTGAAATCATATGGTATTTGTCTTTCTCTGATTGCCTTATTTCACTTAGCATAATACACGCTAGTTCCATCCATGTCATTGCAAATGGTAAGTGTTCATTCTTTTTGATGGCTGAGTAATATTCCATTGTATATACACACCACCCCTTTTTTTTTTAAGATTTTATTTATTTATTTGACACAGAGAGAGAGAGCACAAGCACAGGGAGCAGCAAGCAGAGGGAGAGGGAGAAGCAGGCTCCCCACTGAGCAGAGAGCCCAATGTGGGGCTCAATTCCAAGATCCTGGGATCATGATCTGAGCTGAAGGCAGATGCTTAACTGACTGAGCCACCCAGACACCCCATTCCACATCTTCTTTATCCATTCATCAGGCAATAGACATTTGAGCTCTTTCCATAATTTGGCTATTGTTGATAATGCTGCTATAAACATCAGGGTGCATGTGTCTCCTCCAATCATTATTTTTGTATCCCAAGTTGCTTTTCCTGTAAGTTGT